TAGGCATATGGAGGAGCAGAACAAAAAAGAACCCAGAAAAAAACCTGCACATAGATGGCCAATTGGTCTTTGACAAGGGTGCCAAGAACATACAATGGGGAAAGGAAAATTTCTTCAATAAATGGTGTTGGGAAAACTAGATATCCACATGAAAAAGAATGAAATTGGATCCTTATCTTAGCTCACAGAAATGAGCTTAAAATAGGTTAAAGACTTAAATGTAAGACCTGAAACTGTAAAACTTACAAGAAAACATAGGGAAAAGCTTCTTGATTGGTCTTGGCAATTGGTATTTCTTAGGTATGACACCAATATCACAAGCAACAAAAGCAAAAATAAATAGACAAATGGGACTACATCAAACTAAAAAGCTTCTCAATAGCAAAAGAAAAAAAAAGATGAAATGGCAACCTCTGGTGTGTGATAAAATGTTTGTGAACTATATAGCTGATAAGGGGTTAAATTCTAAAACATAATCCTACAACTTAATAGCTAAAGAAAAATAACCCAATTTTTAAAAAATGGGCAAAGGACCTGCACAGACATTTCTCCAAGAAGACATAGAAATGGCCAACAGGTATATGCAAAGATACTCAACATTACTAATCATCAGGAAAATGCAAATCAAAAACCACAATGATCTGCTATCACTTCACACTTGTTAGGATGGCTGTTATCCAAAGGTCAAAAGATAAGTGTTAGTGAGGATATGGAGGATGTGGGGAATGTAACCTGGTGCAGCTGCTATGAAGAACAATATCAAGATTGAAAAAAAAAATAAATAGTGCTATTGGCAACCTGCCTTCTGAGTATATATCCAAAGCAATCGACATCAGGATCTCAAAGAGATACATGCATCATTATTCACAACACCCAAGATATGGAAACATAACATCAAAAAATAAATGAATAAGTAAAATGTGGTATCCTATATAATAAAATTCTAATATGCTAAGTATCCAGTCGTCCAGTCGGCTGTTCAACCAACCAAAGCATAATATGCTAATATTATGCTAAAGCCGCTTAACAGCTTGCTATGATGTGCACTGACCACCAGGGGGCAGATGCTCTGACAGGTAGGTTAGCTTGCTGCTGGGGTCCGGCCAGTCGGGACTGAGAGAGATGGGCCAGACACAACCTGGAGCCCTCCCGCAGTCCCTCCTTGGCTGGCCAACCTCCTGTGTCCTTTCCCAGCCCCAATCGTGCACTGGTGGGGTCCCTCAGCCTGGTCTGCAACTTCTTGTGATCCAGAACTCCTAGGGAGAGCCGGTTTCAGCCCAACAGCAGAACAACCAGTTGCTATGACGCACACTGACCACCAGGGGGCAGACACTCAACTCAGGAGCTGCCCCTGGTGGTCAGTGCACTCCCACAGTGGGGAATGCCACTCAGCCAGAAGCCAGGCTCATGGACATCCCCAGAAGGCTCCTGGACTGTGAGAGGGCGCAGGCCAGGTTGAGGGACACCCTTCCCCCCAGTGCACGAATTTTGTGCATCAGGCCTCTAGTCCTATATAATAAAAGGCTAATATGCAAATTTTCCCCTCGACCCAGAGTTCAACTGGAGGTTTGACAAGGGACGGGGCTGGCTGGCCAACCGCCTGCAGCCCCTCCTCCCAGCCAGCCCGGCCCGATTGTCCCTGACAATCCCCACCCATGCATAAATTCGTGCACCGGGCCTCTAGTGTACATATAAGATATTCTACCTTTGAAATGAAAGAAATCCTACTGTTTGTGACAACATGGATGGGCCTGGAAGACATTATGGTATGTGAAATAAGACAGTCATAATATAAATACTGCATGATTCCTCTTAGATGAGTCCTCTAAAATAGTCAAATGAATAGAAATAGACATAGAATGGTGGTAACCAGGGGTTGGGAAAAAGCTTATGTGGAATAGATGTTCAATGGGAATAAAGGAGCATATATACAGGATGAGTAAATGCTGGAGCTCTACTGTATAGCACAGTACCTATCTATAATAATAAAAGCATAATATGCTAATTAAACCAGACATCCTTTCGGACGACCTTCTGGACGAAGCCGGGGCTGCGAGGGAAACCCGGGTCCTGGGTGCCTGCTGGCAGCCAGAGGGAAGCCCGGGTCCTGGGTGCCTGCTGGCAGCTGGAGGAAGCCAGGGTCCCGGGTGCCAGAGGGAAGTCAGTGCCTGCAGCTGGGGGAAGGAAGCCCTACTCTTGCACAAATTTCATGCATCAGGCTTCTACTAGTTAATAATAAGATACTATGCACTTAAAATTTTAAGAGGCTAGATTTTATTTTAAATGGTTTTAACACACACACAAAGGGATACAAACTTTCAGAGGTGAGGGATATATTTATTTACCTTGATTGTTTTGATGGTCACAAGTGTACATATATGTTCAAATTCATCAAATTATATACAGTACTTATTGCAATTTTCTGCATACCAATTATACCTCAAGTTGGGGAACTGTGGGGAGGAGGCATACTAACAACTTAGACTTTCTCCATGGTTAACCAGAAGCATTGAAAGAGAATTAAAAGTAAACACACACACAGAAAACAGACCATTAAACCACTTGAAGTGGTTTTTACAGGATTGCATAATACTCAACTTTTCATATTGTTTTTGAACCTGGTAGAAATTTGTTATTTTTAAGAACATCACAGGGAAAGAAAAGTATAATAGCCTTACTGTTGTACTCATAGAAACTTTTCTCACTACTATTTATAGCCTTCCATCAATCACATGAAGTATAAAATCCTATGTTTCTGAAGCATAGTCAGTAAGAAATACTTTTGGAAGAATAATGGGTATGCCCTGGCCGGTTTGGCTCAGTGGATGGAGTGTTGGCCTGCGGATGAAGGGTCCTGGGTTTGATTTCCGGTCGGGGAACATGCCTGGGTTGCGGGCTCCTTCCCCTGTAGGGGGCATGCAGAAGGCAACCAGTCAATGATTCTCTCTCATCATTGATGTTTCTATCTCTCTCTCCCTCTCCCTTCCTCTCTGAAATTAATAAAAATGTATTAAAAAATAAACTCCTGAGAGAGATTATCAACTTTTTTTATTAAGGAAAAAGTTAAGGTAAAATAGAAGAGGCTCATATCTGCTTTGGAATGTTTTCCATTCATTGTGTTGCCATCAAATTAATACAAATATACAAATTTTTATTGTCCAAGATCAATGTTCAATATCATGGGAGTATTTTTGACCAGTTCAGCACTATCTTTACAGGGGGTGAACAGGCCACTCACTTACTGTCATCTCTTCATTAATCTGTAAAATTGTTTAATCAGTAGCATGAGCAACTATTAGTTTCTCTAGTCTATGGCAAAGTGGTAACTATTTTTTTTTGTTTATATGGTAGTTAATTCTGCTCTCCAAGAAAGAAATTTTATCCGGAAATGTTATGCTACTGATCTGTCCCCGACCTGTTCAAACTTGCTTCCTTAGTATCCTTTAGGCTGTGAAGGTATTTCATTGGTAATCCATGGAAGTTTTTTTGAACCTAGTCTTTCTATGACTCACTCAATGATTATTCCAAGAATCAACCAAAGTCTTCTTGTTTATTGTCTCCTAAACTTAGGCTTTTATATATATGGATTGCATTCACCATGCCAAGTCACATCTCCTTCCATCACCATTTATCCCCCCCCTTACCCTCTTCTACTTCCTCCCACCCCACTTTCCCTCTGGTAATCACCATACTGTTGTCTGTCTATGAGTTTTTATTTTTGCTTATTCCCTTCACTGACAGCTGTCAATCTGTTCCCTGTAGCTATGAGTCTCTTTCTATTTTGTTAGTTCGTTTTGTCCATTAGATTCCACATATGAGTGAAATCATATCGTATTAGTCTTTCTCTGACTGGTTTATATCACTTAGCAAAATATTCTCCAGGTCCATATATGCTGTCCCAAAATGTAAGATTTCCTTCTTTTTGTCTTTTTGTCCCAGCTTTTATTAATTTAACATGTGTTAAGAACTTGAACTCTAGATGTTTCAAAAGCTTTTCTTCTGTTGCATTTTTTTTTTTTATTCAGGTGAATTCACATAGTATAAAAGTAGCCATTTTAAAGTGTACAGTATAATGGCATTGAACACATTCTTGGTGTTGTGCAACCATCAACTCTGTCTACTTCCAAAACAAAAGGCATTTATGATTATTTCTAACTTATAGAACTGTACTATATATTGAGTACCATACATGTGGTTTCAATATCCTATATAATAAAAGACTAATAGGCAAATTCAACAGGGGAACAACTGGTCGCTATGATGCGCACTGACCAACAGGGGCCAGACACTCAATGCAGGAGCTGCCCGCTGGTGATCAGTGCAGTCCCACAGGGGGAACGCCACTCAGCCAGAAGTCAGGCTCATGGCTGGCGAGCACAGCAGTGGTGGCAGGAGCCTCCCCTGCCTCAGTGGCAGTGCTAAGGATGTCCAACTGATGGCTTAGCCCCGCTCCCCATGGGTGGGCCTAAGCCATCAGTCAGACATCCCCCAAGGGGTCTCGGACTGCGAGAGGGTGTGGGCCAGGCTGAGGGGACCCTCCCTCCCCACGAGTGCACGAATTTCATGCACTGGGCCTCTAGTTAACAATATAAAGGTATATCTTAATTTTAAGACTAGTAAGATAAAGTTTAGATAAAGTAATTTACTGAAGATCATATATGTAATATGTTGCTTACCCACAATGTCTATTTCCAAAAGTTATATCCATTCCACTGTGCTAAACATACCTCATTCATCTTACCTTTTGTTAGTGAATAAATTTCTAAGGCAGCCAGGAATTTCCAAGTGCCAGCATCCAGAAATGTTGCTATTATTCTAGTGTGCTATTTCAGGGAAATGTATATTTAAGAGTTTGCATGTTATAGGCTCTTAACATATATTTAAATACTCTCTTGAGATGAAAAGGTTTGTTGACTATTCCAAGTGTATTTAGCAACCATCGCATAGAGAGGAACTGTTTTATTTTCTGTGGTGATTTTTACCTCCTTCTTGCCTTTCAGATATGCTTCTTCTGTAAAGGATGGCTCCCAGTATTTTGTGCTCCTGATTGTGACAGACGGTGTTATCTCAGATATGGCTCAAACGAAGGAGTCTATAGTTAACGTAAGTAGGAGTCATTTAGTCTTGGGCTGGCTACGTGACAGCATGGTGCTACTCAGGTTGAGACTAGCGTCTAGTTGGCTTCACAGTGAAACAAAATGCCCGTGCCTTTGGGACCAATTGCATTTTAACTTTACCCAGACAACTCAGACCCATTTGTACCATTACTAGTAATCCATAAGGACTAAGCTAAGAGTGTGGATAACATGAGTTGTAACAAAATTATTTCAAAAAAAATTTTTTTTAAAGGTAATAGCACTACCTTCATGTGCATGAGGATGTTTATCTATATTAGTTTGATGTACATGTGCACATTTTTACAATTTTGCACAAAATATTTCTTAATATTCACATTTCAGTTATGGGAGAACTTTGCTAATTTCTATTTCTATAGAACTGGATGGGAACTGGACTTGATTCAAAACCATGTTTCTCATTATAATTCCTAATTGTGTTATAGTTAGCTAGAGGCCCGGTGCATGAAAATTCATGCACTGGAGGGGGGCTCTCTCAGCCCGGCCTGCCCCCTCTCACAGATCAGGAGCCTTCAGAAGGCGATCCGGCAATCGGGAAGGCGACTCCCCATCACACCTCCGCTGCTGCCACTGCCGGCGGCACAAGCCTCAGCCAGCCCTGGTTACCTGAGCCTCAGACAGCTGGGCAGCCGCCATCCAAAGCTTGCCTGAACCTCGGGCTGGCCCAGGGCGGCTAGGCAGCCAACATGAGTCTTGCCTGTGCCTTGGGCATCAGCTGGGCAGCCGCCATCAAAGGCTTGCCTGCGCTTTGGGCCAGCCCTGGGCAGCTGGGGTGCTGAGGAGACTGGGGGACTCCAGAGGCAGGCACGCGTACCTGCCACCCCGGCAGGCCTGAAGGGACTGGATGCCACCATCTTGTGACTGTGGGCGCTGCCATCTTTGAGGGCAGGGCAGTCAATTAGCATATTCCCTTTTTATTAGATAGGAGGGTTTTTTATTGTCTTCATTGTTAGTCTATAATCTATAAAGTTTACATTTACTAGATTATCTATGTATATAAAAGCCTAAGCGACCATTACGACAGGTTGACTGAACGACTGGTCAACTTGTTGCTATTACACATACTGACCACCAAGGGGCAGATGCTCAGCGCAGGAGCTTCCCCCTGGTGGTCAGTGCACTCCCACAGCCAACCTCCCGCACTGGCCAACCTCCAGCAGTCCCTCCCCCCGGCCAGCTGGCCCCGATTGGCCCCAATCAGGACTGGGAGAGATGGCCCTGATTGATCCCAATCGTCGGCCAGGCTGAGTAACCCCACCCATGCACAAATTCGTGCACCCCGCCTCTAGTAATTAATAAAATTATTTCTGATTTTAATCCCCTTTCATATTCAGGTTTAGCAATGTTTGGCACACAGTAGACACTTAGTAAAAATGGGTTGCATGAATGTTTATCATACCTCATAATTATTAATAGCATGGAAAAAATACAATTAGGTATCTGTTGTGAGAAAATAGGTTCATATAGGGGCAAAAATCAAATACTTTATATACATGTGCTTAGAAAAACTAAATATGAAAAGGAAGAGGAGGAGTAAAAGTTCACATATTTATTTTTTTATTTTTAAATTTTGATTTCCCTAATATTCTGATCAGTGGCATTAGTGTGCACTTTAAAATATGGACTTACTAATTTAAATTTAAATTAACAGTCATGATGCACTGAGGAACAATTATTTTTAATTCAATGGCCTTCATAGATAAAGATGTGATTGCTATAGTATTGCATCTGTCTGTTGCTAGAGCTTACATTTTTACCATTAAAGTATTTAATGTGATGATGTCATTTAAGTGATACATATAATGAGAAAGCCTGCCATAATATATTCAGTATCCCTCACAATATCATGGATATTTAATACATAATTTAATCATACTAAGAATAACTTTTTATAAATGAGGTAGACTAGAATACTGCTGTTTCATAAATATGGTAACCCTTTCCCCTTTAGCAACTAACAGATATTTTAGAAGAGAGAGAACATGAAAAAAGAGAGATCAAGGATACCCAATGTCATCTTATGTAGATTTTGGCTGATAGTAGCAAGTGATAGCTAAGGCTAAAGCTTTTATTTTTTTATATTATCCAAGGCTGGTCATTGCTGAGGACTGTCCCACTGAATCAGCATATGTACAGAGTTGGGAAAGCATAGACATGGAATTAAGTATATTATCTGGTAGTTATTTTAAGTATCTTCAAAACTACTTTAATGAACATCTGTGAAAAATATAAACTAAAAACAGGATATTAAATTTTTCTTAAATCTTAATTCTTTTCTTAAGAACTCAATTTCTTAATTGTGAACTAATTGTGTATTCTTTTCGAAGGCTTCAAAACTTCCAATGTCAATAATTATAGTTGGTGTTGGACCAGCAGAATTTGATGGTAAGTAATACAATTTCAATAGTATTCCTTGGGAGTTTATTTAATCTGAGTCATCATGCCTTTAAATTTCTATCATTCTTTTTAAAAATTTTGAATGTGAGTGTGCATGTAGATTTGCATATAATGTCCATGTACACTAGGCATAAATATAAATATCTCACCATGAAGTTTGTTTAGGTGAGCAAATTAAAATATTGTCTTTTGAGTAGAGCATTATCTTTCTAATATAGATTCGTGCAACATGTATTTTTTCATTTTAGTAGAGGTGGTTTGTACCTAAAGATAATATTTTTTAAAGACTTACAGAGTGATAAATTGAGTTTTTGTTCCCAAGGCAAATTACTCTCTGGGTGAATTTCCTAAAAACCTTTAGGAATAAAAACTAAATTAATAAATCATTAGGTTGTGAATAGAAATGTTAACACAGCACAGTATGCTTCGGGAATGGATTTTCAGACCCTGGGTAGTTGATAGACATTAGCTTTAAAAATACATAAGTTCTGTCATATGAAAACAGAATGAAAATGGAACTGACCATACAGTGGTTCTCAACCTGTGGGTCACAACCCTTTCACAGGGGTCACCTAAGACCATCGGAAAACATATATATAATGACATATTGTTTTTGTGATTAATCACTATGCTTTAATTATGTTCAATTTGTAACAATGAAATTGGGGGTCACCACAGCATGAGGAACTGTATTAAAGGGTCAAGGCATTAGGAAGGTTGAGAACCACTGAAAGGAGACCTTATATAATTATGCTAAATTGACTTACTGGAAGTTTTGTTTGGGCTTAAGCCTTGTTCAGATGCTAATTAAGTGACAGGTGTTTGTGTAACTCGTAATCTGGGCAAACTTCGTTCAGGATAGTCTGTTACTAGTTATCTGGTGAATTTCTTCAAGGGAACTTTATACTGGACAACACCGGTATGACTTCGTAACATTTACCTGGTTCAGGTGTTTTAGATTAACAATAACACTTCCTTTAGCTTGGCATTTTGGAAATGAAAATAATTTTAGACTATTTGGAACAACCTCTGGTATGTTACAAGGTAATTTAGGCATACAGGTACTAATGTTAGTATGATTATCACTGGATTGATTCTCTGTTAACCACCAGTGCCTTCTCTGTAAGGGTAGTATGGATCTGTCCATCGCAGGTAAAGAACCACAGGGAAAGTTATATTGGTGACTGAAAATTCCTTTCTTTCATTCTATGCTTGGCTAGTCATCCCTTTCATCATTATAATCTTCCATTTTCTAAAGCAAAAGTCATTTAGTCTGATGGCTGCTGCTTCTGCTGATATTTTCTTGTCTCTGGGTATTTGCATCTGTTTGTATCATCTTTCAGGCATCAATATGACACATTTCTCTGGAGTCAGGAAACCTAAAACACATCTTTCTTCTTAATGCTTTGTACACTTGATTGTTTGCATTAATTAGTGATAGACCAAGATCCACAAACTTCACCCATTGCTATGTTATAATAACCCATGCTTTTTTCTTCAGTCACTAATTTGCTTTTGCCTCTCAAGGATACACCTCAGATAGGGCACATCTCAGGTCTCCCAGACTCCCATGGAAGTCCACCACTAGATGTATGACCTCAGGGATGGTGAACACTAGCACCTGTTCATCAACAACCCCCACACATAATGTTTGAATACAAAGCCACTGACCCTTCTTAGTCATATACCGTATTTCTACTTACTACACAAGACAGCTATTTGTTTTCTTCTTTTCTGTAGTTCCCAGTGCATTATTTATTAGGATTTGAGGTGTGATAATTCATCATTTTCCTCTCTTACTTCCTGAAGTAAAAAAAAAAAAATATGCAGGAAACAGAATCTAGAATATAAGTTTTATTACTAGCACTGCAGAATTGGAGAATTTGGATTAACCTGTGCACAGAGGTAGACTTCTCACTACCTTTTCCCCCCAAGATTAAATAACCTCACCCTTATCTCCAGGCCTACTCCATACCTGCCCCAGAGAGGAATTGCCTTCACTCTGAGGATAGGCAGCTCCAAAAAAGAGAGGCTCAAGGTCAGTTTCTCCTAATAGTAATCCTATGAAACCTTCCTCTTCCCATGTGGAAAAGTGAGTGAAGATTGTAGACAAAGAGGGAAGTTGCCTACCCCATAGAATTCTATCCTGGGAATTAGAGTGAAACTTTCCTCTGGGGAACATTTGAACAGGGAATTGGGGTCCTGCTCTCACCATGATGGAAGTTTAAATAGGGTGGAAAGTCTTCCAGGCCCAGTCCTAGAAAAGTAGGCTATTCCACCAGGAATAGTAGATGCTTCTCTAAAGGATTTTTTTTTTCTTTCCTCTCATGGCTAAGAAGAAAAGGACAGGATACTCATGTTTAAGATAGAACATCTCCAGCTTGCATTCAAATTGCTGCTGTCTTTTAAAAATATATGTATGTTGTATTGAGAGGGGGGAGAGAGAGAGAGAAGAGAGGAGAGAGGAGAGAGAGAGAAACATCAATGATGAGAGAGAATCATTGATTGGCTGTCTCCTACATGCTCCCTACAGGGGATTGAGTCCGAAACCCAGGCATATGCCCCGACAGGGAATCAAACCTGGTTCATGGGTCAACGCTCAACCACTGAGCCACATTGACAAGGCAAATTGCAGCGGTCTTATCAGAAGAGCCTTTCTCCGGGCTCTTCCAAGTCTACCATAGAGTAACTTTATATGCCACACATATACACTGACATAGGAAAAAAGTGACATAAAACTTGCAGATTTTATCAGGTAACCACCTAAATCCAACATCTACACATTTTTAACCAGAAGGGCATTGTTTGCATGGGCAAGAAAGGTAATATTTTGCCATCCATTCTTTGAAGGTTGAGAAAATAGGAATAAACTATTAGATTAGTGAGTATTCAAATTTCTTATTTTTATATTTTAATTTTTTTATATTTTAATAAGAACAGTATACAACCATCTCTAAATCCCCCCCCCCATGACTTTTCATTCCTTTATAAAAAGCACCGTCATTAAGAGATGATTTTTCAAGGTGGGATTTCTTTATCCTAAAAAGGCAAAAAGGCAAATTGAAGCAGCATCTGGCTACCTGCTTTGATCATTAGGAGAAGGGGACACCTAAAAGGGGCTCGGACTTCGTCCCATCTCCCATGGCGAGAAAGTAGTGCTGGTCTGTCTCACATTGTTTTTCCAAGGGCAAGTCCTGGTGGGGACCTGGGGCTTATAACATCAGGCTGCTGAGGACCCGATGGTCTGGAAACCTGAAGGGAGAACGTTACCCTCCCACCACCTGCCCCCTATTTCTTTTCTCCTTGCTAGCAGAAGTGTAGTATTGCTACATACAGACTTTTAACCCAAAACACATGCTGGAAAGTGAGAGATCCTTTATAGCAGTGGTTCTCAACCTTGGCTGCACATTAGAATCACCTGGGAATCTTTTCAAAATCCTGATTTCTGGGCCTCATCCTCTGGAAATTCTGTTTCTTTGTTATGGGGTGAGGCCACAACATTAGTAACAAAGAAACAATTTCCGGAGGATGAGGCCCTGAAATCAGGATTTTAAAAAGATTCCCAGGTGATTCTAATGCGCAGCCAAGGTTGAGAACCACTGCTTTATAGGATCTCATTCTAGTTATTCAGTTATTGCCTGACTGACTGTCATTTTCTTTAATTAGTAAATTAGATAATAAAGGAGACGTTTTGGTGGCATGTCATCATCCATATACATTTATGTCTCAAAGTAATATGAAAATTTTGAAAACAAACCTAAACCAAAAAGAGGAATTAACTCTTAAAAATATTTGAGTATAATGAATTCTCTTATTAACATTCCTAATGAGTAGGAAAGAAAAAAATAGTGTTTTTTTTTTAAAATAAGCTAATTACCTTATACATTTACTAAGTCAAGACATATATTATATATTGTATATTAACTGAGTGTTGGCTCGCTATCAGTTATGTGTGCTAGCAATGCTTTAGCCCAGAAACTGATTCATGAACATGTATAGAAAAAGTAAAATGTAAAACAGTGTTTTTAATCCAAATGCATTATCCACGCACTAAAGAAAATAACAAAAGCCTGGCTGGTGTGGCTCAGTGGTTGAGTGTTGACCTCTGAATCAGGAGTCACAGTTTGATTCCTGGTTAGGGCACATGCCCAAGTTGCAGGTTCGATTTCAGGTAGAGGGGCATGCAGGAGGCCGCTGATCAATGATTCTTTGATGTTTCTATCTGTCTATCACCCTTCCTCTCTGAAATACATAAAAAATATTTTTAAAAAATCTTTAAAAAATGGTGAGGATTGTATTCTGATTGAACAATGTTTTTTGGAGGGTTAGGAGGCAAACATTATAATTGCAAGTGGCTCTCTGTAATCTAGTGAATGTCATGTATATACAAAATGAATTATCAGCAATAAAATCATACTTTAAGCACAAATTAGCATTCCTTATGTAATTAATTATTTAGAGAATTCTGGCTGAAAACCTAATAAACTCTGGAAAATGTTCTTAATTGCAGCATAACATTACTGTATCAGCAGATGAACCATTATATCACAGCATTCCCAAATACCCTCTGATCTTTGTGATGTTGAAATTCTCCTTTAACCAACAAAAAATCATGCCTCAGAAAAATCGTACTTTATCCAAGCAGTCCAAGGGCAGAGCAAATGTCTCTTTATTGTTCAATCTATGTTTAAAGTGGGAATTGGGCAATATGGATATATAGCTTTGTTATAGTTTTGATAAGAATGAAGTTCAGCCCAGCCTATGTGGCTTCGTGGTATTGTCCCATTAACCAGGTGGTCACGGGGTTCAATTCCTGGTCAGGGTCAGGGCACATGCCCAGGCTGTGGGTTCAATCCCCAGTAGGGGGCATGCAGGAAGCAGCCAGTCAATGATTCTCTCTCATCATTAATGCTTCTATCTCTCTCTCTGTCTCCCTTCGTCTCTGAAATCAATAAAAATATACATTTTGAAAAAGAATAAAGTTCAAATTGTTATTGGGAATTCTATGACGACTAGCACCAGGCTTCTTAGTTTAGAAAGAAAAACTAAAATTGAATGTTTTAGTATCGATTGCTCAGTTCTGTAAGCACATGACCCCGGTTTGAGAACCCCTGGGATGGAGAGATGCCCCTAATGCCTGCTCTCTACTGCACTGGCTCTTCTCATCTGTCAAAGGGTCACCTGAGGTGCTGGCCTGTTTTCTTCATTTGTGAAGTGTACCCTCAATCAAGTTCTGTGGGAGAAATGATTGAGAAGATGCAGGGGATCAACAGCTTTTTGACTTTACATAGGATGTTTTGCTACTTCATACATCTTGATTTCTGTATTGCCTACATTGTTTCAGTTAGTATATGGCTAAAATACACTGGATAAATCATTCTTTTTATTTTCAAGCAATGATTGAGTTGGATGGAGATGATGTAAGAGTTTCCTCCAGAGGAAAATATGCCGAAAGGGACATTGTGCAGGTAAGAAATTTAATGAAAATTATTTATTTTGTTCATAGTGAACAGCTCTTGTTAAATAAACAAGTTGAAGTTGAAGTGATGAGTGTCAGGTTCTGTTTAATCTATGAGATGCCTATTAAGTATTAGGGCCTAGAAAAAGCACCCAGGCTTTCCCCTGGACTTTCGGTTCACAATATGTAAATAAACTGTCAATAATTTATTTTTATTACTATTTTATTATTACCTTCTTTATTATTACCAGAAAATAGTGAGAGTTTTGGTAAAAATAGAATCTAGAAACATAATGAACTTTTTAATAATGCTTATATATTCATTTTTTAGTCTGCAACAAAGACTAAAAGTATTTTTAGACAACTGATATATATTTAGAGTAGATAAATTTAGTATAAATGAACCAAAAATGTAGATATTTTCATACTTTCTTTGTAGATTATGATTAGAAAGTGGAGAAATACATTTAAAATTATGTATAAATATATAAATTATATGTAAATAATATATAACCATAAATAAATCACAATATATAAAATAATAAAATATGATTCACAATTCTCTTAAAATTTTAAAAGAATACTTAACTAAAGCCTACTATTCAAGGAGTGGCTTGAAAGAAAATAATTAGTAACCAATATATAATTAAAATTTATAGTTGAAAACAAGGAGTTAATTCAACTAAAGTTCTGCATATATTACAGCCTCCATATTTTTAGGGTGCCAGAAGAGAAAAAAGACTATGAAGTCTACCTTCTTAAATAGAAAAGGGAAGAAGGTGTCAGTACCATTGAAGCACATGACATGAAAGTTTGGGAGGAGCAAACAATGGAACTTCAGCATTTTCTCTTAATTAATAAACTATATATTCACCATAATACAGTCATTAAGAGAATCTAACTTGGAATTCGACAGAAATTGGTTCAAATCCTGGATTGTCCAACCTTGAAAACTTGGACAAGCTTTCTAAATTCAGTGTACTGGCATTGTTATAATGATCAAATGAGAAAACATATATGAAATGCATTCCTGAAATAGTAAAATACAACAAAAAATGATTAAAATAATTTCAGGGAGAATATAACATAAAGTAATTTGTAAAAATTAATTGGCTAAATTTTAAAAAGCATTGTTCTTAGTCTGTCAGCAAAATTTAATTTTCAATGAGAAACATTTTTTAAGATAATTAAATATGACATATTTTTTAACCTAATGTTCTTACTAGAGTAAAAAGCACACGTGCCCACACACACACACATGAATGATGAGGTTAAAAGCAGCTAAGAAAGGGAACATGGTAATGTGGTCATCTATTTAAGAATCCCATGGTGTTTTGTTTTCATAATTAGACACATGATTATTCACCTGAACCTCATTAGCATAATTATAGGTTTAAGTAATTACACCTTATCTGAAAGCTTTCCACAATGTCTAGCTCACAGTTTCAAAAAATTAAATTACTAAAGTGAAGTATGAATTTGAAGTCCTTTAGAATGTGTTATGTTGCTGGTGTAATGCATTTTTACAAAGTTAGCAGAGGCAACCCTGTATCTCATACTATTGTCTAAATGATGCTTATGAGAAACTTGGTATTTCTTAAGATTGTCCATATTGCTAAGGTTTTCTTTAAAAGGGCTAATATCTTATGTTGGTGACAACCAGCAGTTCTTATTATAAATAGAAAAGAAAAATTCCCTTGAAAGTATTTAGTCTCTCAATGGATATCCTATATTGGACAGAATATTGCTATAGGTCTCAAACCTATGAAATTATATCGTGGGCACTCTGACCTTGAACAAGTCAATAAATCTCTTTAAGCTTTTGTTTCATTACCTCTAAACTCTAAATTCTTTCATCTTTACCTTTCTTATGATGTTGTGAATCTCAGAGGAATTAAAAATCATGAAATACTTTGTTACTTATTAGTATAAGCTATATAGTGTGTATATATATATATATAAATATATATATATTTATATATGTGTGTGTGTGTGTATACACACACACACACACACACATACATATATATGCAAATAATTATGTTTCCTCTGTTTGACACTCAGAATCCTTAAGACCAGTCCACTACCATAAAATGATAGTGAGATCCCCAAAGGTTTTGAAGGGACCTGGAGAAATTAGCTAAACACTCAAGAGATTTTACCCCATAAAGTTGAACTGAAAGAACTGTGAGATATTACAGATTCTGAACATGAAATTAGAATGTTCCCAGACAATTAGTAGCCTCGTGAGTGATGGTGAGATCTTGGCTTACATGCCTATAGTTCAGGAGATTTGATGTGTTTTCTCAAATTTCATGCAGAAATTTCTAAATGGTGATTGGTCTTTTAAAAATAGTAAGCAAGGTACAAATTTATATATCTTATTGTATTTAAGAAGAATTAGCATCTTCTCTCTCTCCTTAAATAAGATTTTAAAAACATTCCAACAGTTATTCAGCCTCTACCATCCACTAAAATATTTTTAGATGACTTATATTCAAGACTAGGGCCGAAACCGGTTTGGCTCAGTGGATAGAGCGTCGGCCTGCGGACTGAAAGGTCCCAGGTTTGATTCCGGTCAGGGGCATGTACCTGGGTTGTGGGCACTTCCCCAGTGGGGGATGTGCAGGAGGCAGCTGATCGATGTTTCTCTCTCACTGATGTTTCTAACTCTCTATCTCTCTCTCTTCCTCTCTGTAAAAAAATCAATAAAATATATTTAAAAAAAAAAAAAAAAAGACTAGAAATTTCCTTGAGCCTTGTCTGGTTAGATCTCAGTCCTTAGAGAGTCTGGGGTTTGATTCCTAGTCAAGGACACCTTGGTTGCAGGTTTGATCAGGGCGCAAGCAGTAGACAACCAATTTCTCTCTCTCTCTCTCTCTCTCTCTCTCTCTCTCTCTCTCTCTCTCTCTCTCTCTCCTCTCTCTCTCTCCCCCCCCTTCCCTTCCCTCCCTTCCACTCTCTCTAAAAAACAAATCAATAAAAAACATATCCGTGGGTGAGGATAAATAAGTAAATAAATAAGTAAATAAATAAATAAAAAGACATTTCCTTGAATAGTTGGGGATATAGGAGTTACAAGGGCAAACCAAGAATAACAATTCCAGTCCTCCCATCATCAGAAAATATCGAAGCCATCAAAATGCTATAAACTCTGCTGGCTAAAATACTATCAGGAAATAGGGTCCATTTAGTCTCTCTTACCTTTTCACTACTTTCAAGTTTTTTACATGTTGAGGCTAATTAAGTTAATGCACAGCAAACAAAAGCCCACATTTCTTAAATGGACAAAACTCTAAGGCTGCAAATAATAGTAGGCAGCTGAATTTCAGTAGCTAATTAGGGGTAATAGATAGGGTTTTCATTATATTGTCACATCTTAAGTGGCACCCAACTTCATTCTAATTAATCATTTATAAAGTCCTTCATGTGCTAGGTAAGCTAAGAGCTATAGCATTACTTCACTCAGTCCTTAATTGACTTTGTGAGACAGGTACTTTGATTACCATATTTTTAAAAGAAGAAATGAAGTTTAATTCCTCTTGTTCGTAGTCACAAAGCCAGTAAGAACTGGAGTCACGATTTAATCTTAAGGTGTTTAATTCTAAAATTTTTAACAAATATTCTGTATAACTTTGATTCTAAATCCTAAATCCTAAACAGCATTTAAGAGTCTCCATGCCCTGACTCCAATCTTCCTCTTTAGCTAAACACACACACACACACACACACACACACACACACTTTGTCTAAACAAATAGGACTATTAACTATCTTTGCATCACACATTTCTATTGTTCTTTCTCTTATTTTTTATTGTCACTTTATTGGAATAATCTTCCTCTCACCGGGCTGACTAAAATTCTACATTTTGAAATTTCTCAGCCTTGTGTAATGTCCTGTCTCCACACACTTGAACTAATTTCCCCACCTTTTCCCCTACTTTTTTCACCTATCACTTTATATCTTCATAAAAATCCTGGACAGTTTTTGCCTTGTAATAATTTATAAATAAGGAAACTGAAGCCCAAGATGGGGTGTTAAACAACTTATACAAAGCTGTTTAGATCATAAATTGGTAGATCCAAATTTTCAACAAAGTTCTGATTCCAAAACCTGTGTTCTTTTTGTAATCAATACACCTACTCTGTAATGAAGATTATTAGGATCTGTTCTCCTTTTCATATTACTATCAGGGTTAATGTAAAAGAGTAAGATTAATTTGGGTTTAAATAATGACATATTTATAGCTTTCTGATGTTGGGTAAATTCATTAAACTGTCTAAGTTTCAGTTACCTCTTCTGTAAGTTCAAAATATGGATAGCATGCTTATAAAAATTAAATAGTGTAAGATCTCTTAGCAGAAGGCCTCCCACTGGCCAGTTGCTCAATAAATGCATTAATATCAGTACCATTTTTTATTATTAGTTAGTATGTTGGCATAATCCAGTCAGAAAGCATTTTAGGTCACTATTTCATAGTGGCTGGATCTTGACATATGACACTGTGGTCAGCCGTATGTGTGATTATATTCATTGTCTTGGTATTCAATCTCATATGATTATGGTATAAATAGTAAGCAGGATAAGATCCTACGGTGTCTATCCTAAAACTTAAATGAGTTATTTTCTTAAATTCTATGTATTCATTTGCTTGTTGGGCTATGGATTGGCCATTGTGTATGAAGCAATGCCATTTCTCTTGGTTGCCTGCAGATGCTCGCCAGCCTATCATTTCCTTAAAAATTGTATTTAAATCATATTTTCCATTAAATGGAGAATAATAACCTTGAAGACTTATACTTGAAAATCACTAATGGAGCTCTGCACAGTAGGAACAATCTAGTAAAATTGAGCAGAACAGCAACTAAAAGCCCATTTACCCAAACTAATTTAAACTTGTTTTCATAAATAGTCAAAGCTGGCCATTAGAGCAGCTGTGAAAAACATTTTCCTTAGAGTGGGTAGATGCTAAGAGAAAGATGTAGAGTATCAAGGACATAGTATATT